GGGACAGGGTGCATGTGGATGTGGACAGCACTCTCCATGGAGAGGTGGGAGAGGGCACATGTGGATGTGGACAGCACTCTCCATGGGGAGGTGGGACAGGGTGCATGTGGATGTGGACAGCACTCTCCATGGAGAGGTGGGACAGGGTGCATGTGGATGTGGACAGCACTCTCCATGGGGAGGTGGGACAGGGTGCATGTGGATGTGGACAGCACTCTCCATGGAGAGGTGGGGACAGGGCACATGTGGATGTGGACAGCACTCTCCATGGGGAGGTGGGGACAGGGCGCATGTGGATGTGGTGAGACTGGGATGTTGTGTCTTAGGAAAGGAGCAGAGCTCACAGTGTTATTCCGTTTACAGGACACATGCTTGCACACTGCAAAGGTTGTATGACAAAAATGAAATGGAAAACTGTGGCCAACCCCAATTTACAAATTTGAGGATGATATTTTTGTTGCCTTACATAATGTAGCATTTTTAAATGAGGGTTTACATTGCTAATATGTCTTAAAATGGGCATATTTTTGCCAGTGGTGGAGTATGCCTTTAATTCCAGCACTAAGGAGGCAGAGGCAGGCAAATCTCTGAGTTCACGGCCAGCCTGGGCTACAGAGCAAGTTCCAGGACAGCCAGGGCTACGGTGAAACCTTGTCTTGAAAAAAAAAGTCAGGGGCATACACTGAATGTCCTGGCTGCCTCGTTACCCCGCTCCTCTAACCCCACCCTCAACTGATGGCGCGTGTACTCTACACACCAAACACATCTGTATAACAGGATTACTTTTCATTTCTACAAAATAGAAATGCCATACTTGTAAAAATTTTCTGTTATGGAAATAGAAACGTTAATGGAAAATATTATGTTTTATTTGGCATATGGGAAACCACTGTTCTTAAAACATTAAGACACCTACAAAGTTTTGATTTCACATTTCCAGCTATAAAGTCGAGGGATTAATCACTGCCCATGGGTGCATGGAAAGTGCACTCTCTCTGAGCCCCTTAACCCGAAGCAGAAGGCACCACACTGGCATCCTAGGCTGCAGTACGTGCTCATCATGAGGGTCAGGGGTAGTATGCTTAATGTACAATATATACACTCTTGAAAATGTCCTCATGTAACACAGTACTATGCACAATGGATATATGCATTGAAAAAATTTAAAAATGGAACCAATTTGGCCCACATTTTAGTTAGTGTTCCACTACCTTTTTGAGAGGAAGGGTCTGTATCCATTCCATGGAGTTTACATCGAAGATATCAACTGCATTTTCACTATAAACGGAGAGATAAGGTGCATTGTAACCTGGGGGAAGGAAGGAAGGTACAGCCTGCTGATTATTGTGAACTATTAAGCCCCAACCACTTTGAAAGGTCTATCCCAAGAGTGGAATCTTCTCAAAACCCAAGAGTTATTACATAGGAATGATGTTATCAATGTTTTTGAAGTGTCTCCTGGCATGGTTCTGCTACTGTGACCTGAAGCTGTGGGACAGTGTGTGATGTGTGTGATGCTCACTACACACTTGTGAAGGAATGGACGACACACGCAAAGAGTGAGTGACTTACAGAAACTGCATTACGATGGAGTTACACCTAGAAAGGCGTTTGCCCGACTGACTTCACTCAGAATGCTCAGGATTATCTGACTCAGCTACAAAGCAGCGTTCATTTACCCCTATGTCACCGACAAAAATGTTCATTTCAGAAGAAATAAAACACTAGAAATAGTTCAATCCGGGTGGAGTTAGAGAGAAGAACTCACTTTTCTGAGACACTCACCCGGATGGTCCTGCCCTTATCCTTCCTGCTGCAGGGGAGAGGTCCCTGCCTCCTGCCCCAGTAAGTGTTTTAATAGACTCCTGAATTCCACCCTCTTTGGGATCTTTTGGGGCATTTGATTCTATTTTCTGTATTTCCCAAATAGTCCACGTTTCCTACTGATTCTCTAGCTCCCTTTTCCTCTCAGTGTTTAAACAGGCTTACGCGTCTCCCATCACAAACCAAGCAATCTGGATCACACTCTCTCCTGAATGCACCTGTACATAGCATTCTATCCAGCCACTTCCTGTTAGGAATCTTCCCTACTCTGTAAGGGTAGATTGCTGTGGATGATGACTGGCCAGTAGCCAGGCAGGAAGTATAGGCGGGACTAGCAGAGAAGAGAAATCTGGGAAGTGGAAGGCTGAGGCAGAGGAGACGCTGCCAGCCGCCGCCATGAGTACCAACATGTAAGACACTGGTAAAACATGAGCTATGTGGCAAGGTATAGATTTATAGAAATGGGTTAATTTAAGATAGAAGAACTAGATAACAAGAAGCCTGCCACGGCCATACAGTTTGTAAGCAATAGAAGTCTCTGTGTGTTTACTGGGTTGGGTCTGAGCAACTGCAGGACTGGCGGGTGAGAGAGATTTGTCCTGACCATGGTAGCCAGGGAGGACTGGAGAAAACTCTAGCTACAGGTAGATGGCACTGCATTGATTTCACTCATGACTTCATCTCGTATAGTAAAATCATATGTACTCAATAGCGATTGTTATTCAGTGATAAAAGTACCGAATGATATACCAATATTTTAATATTTATGGAAAGCGTGAAATAAGTAAATTTAAATCAATGTATACACCTATAAAATAGGAAATGGAATACTACTTCTTATAAAGGCCACATTATATCTTCTAAGAACTGGTTAAACAATCACTTAGTAACTTCTCCAGCCTAAGTTTTATGAGCTAATGTTACTTAAGGATATTATATTTAGGGCGACAATGAAGAGAATGATTTAGGATTATTTTTAAACACAACAATATTGAGATAAAATGTATCTCAGTAAATCTGTCATAGAAAGATTAGTTTTACTTACAAGCATTTTATGTTCACCTTGTTTGTATAGGTTTTACAATATATGGTTTATTTTACATTAGCAACATAGTTAGTACTTGGGGAAGACCTTAAGAGTAATTAAAAAACAAGCTGTTAGTAAAAAGGATTATATTTAAGGTAAATGAAAAGGCAAAAAGGGAAGAAGTCAGACAAATAAGAAAGAACCTTACAACAAGAGGAAGGATTTGCTGGCCACATCAATTCCTGCTGTCTAGATCTTCGGCCCTGGCAGTCCGTGTATATCCCAATGCTGCTAAAACACAGCAAATACTCTTTGTTGGAGATCTCAACTGCACAGATAGCATCCATGGGTTGATGTGCAATGAATGATAGTGTGTGGTCATTTGAATGGAGCATATTGCATGGACTTCCTTCTCCACTCAAAGGGTATCTGAGAAATCCTGACTGGAATCCTACACAGAGCTGCTCGCTGAAGATGGCCATCCACTGGACGTTACATGGGACTTGAATTTCCTTAAACTTCCTGTGCCGGGTCTTGCTCTGGAATAGCTCGTAACAGAGGACTTGTCTTTTCATAGCCACACAGAGGCAGGACAGAGCTCCGTGGCGCACTTTCCCAGCAGTTATGGTTTGACACCCTTTAGTTTCTGCTAGCTTATAAAATTCCGTCTCTCGCCCATCCAAAGCTGACATAGGAAAAAGTCGGACATGACGATTTCGGCCTGAGATCACAGCAACAAGCTGGTCACTTGGAATGAGTTCAATCTGATGAATTTTCTTATTGTCACCAACTCTAATAATCTCTACAGGAAGAAACAACAACATTAAATGCAAAAAAACGGTTGTATTAAATGTATCTGAATTAAACACCAAAGTATATAATCCAACTCATATTAAAGACAAACACACACAAAGGTATCAAAGTCAGAAATCACAGAAGAAAAAAAGAAGGATAACTGAAACTATTATCAGATCATTTAACCCACTGGTAGCTGATAGCTAGTATTAAGTTCAGCACCGAGATCCTGTCAGTCAAGACAAGGAACCCCTGTGTAAAGCGCGCCTAGGCTTCACAAAGTTTGTTTTCTGGTCTACCTTCCAGGAATTTCAACATGGAGTTCCTAGTCTTAAAATCCAAGTAACTGCAACTCATGCTTCTCTTCAGGTATTATTTTTTAAAGTTTTATTTTATGACCATGGGTGTTTGGCCTGCATATACGTCTGTGCATCACTTGCATGCCTGTGTCCACAGAAGCCAGAAGGCGGCATCGGATACCCTAGAAATTAAGATGGTGTAGGACACCATGTAGGTGCTGGGAACTGAACCCCTGGGTCCTCTGCAAGAGCAGCCAGGGCTCTTACCTGCTGAGGCATCTCTCTAGCCCTACCTTTTGAGGTATTTCTTTGTGTGCACATGTGGCCATTTATGCATGTACAAGCATGTGCCACCAGAAATCAGCCTAGGGTGCTCTTTTTCAGAAGCTGTCTGCCTTAAGTTTTTGGTTTTTTAATTAAATTTTTAAGTTGTGGATGTGTGTGGGTGCATGTCACAGCATGGGTGTGGTGGTCAGAGGACAACTTTGTGGCGTCAGTGTTCTCCTTCCACCTTTATGTGGATTCCAGGGATCAAACACAGGCTTTCAGGGCACCTTTCCTGCCCAGTCATCTTGTCCATGCCCACCTTTGTTTATTAAGTCAGGGACTCCCACTGGGACCTGGGATTTGATTACTAGGCTAGGTTGGCTGGCCAGTGCTGGGATCTCTCTCTCTCTCTCTCTCTCTCTCTCTCTCTCTCTCTCTCACACACACACACACACACACACACACAAATGATCATGCCCAGCTTTTTATGTGGGTTTTGGGAGTTCAGTGTTTAAATGGCAAGCACTTACCAACTGAGGTATCTTCCTAACACTTCTCAAGGTATTTCTAAGGGTAACAAATTCATCACTCTTAAGTGACCTACTTCCGCAGGCTCTAACTTGATACAAAGACAGAACTTAAAATGCTATGTTTAAGAAACATGAATTCAACTGGTTTTGCTTTATTTCACTCAGCACTTTATTTCCACCTAGGGAGCTAAAACCTGTTGTGCTGACCCACGGGGAATTTTAGGCATTACCTCTTAAAGCACTACTAGGAATGAGAAAAGTAATCTGTGGTTTTCTTTTCTGTGCCATCTTTAGACATGAGTGGAACTGTTCAGTAAAACAGGAGAGAGACAGTACACAGAGCTCTAGAACATAAAAGGGGAACAGAACTGCAAATCTTGAGTTAAAGCTGGGTGTGGCGGCACACACCTTTAATCCGGGGAGGAAGAGGCAGGCAGATCTGTGACTTCAGCCAGCCTGGTCTACACACTGAGTTCTAGGACAGCCAGTTACATAGTACAATCTTGTCTCAAAAAAACCATAAAGGAAAAAGAAAAAAGTCTTTTGATTTAAAAACATATAAAATTATATCTGGAAAATCTTAGTAACACAACCCTGCTCTTAGACTTTAGGTTCAAGAGTTTTTTAATCTATAATTTAAAATTCAGTTAAACTTCAGTATAATTGGGTTTTCTCTTACCATCTTTGGTGACATGCACGACAAACAATCCTTCCTCATTTCCCAAAGCTATCCTTTCATGATCTAGTTAAGACACAAACATAAAACATTTTCATCAGATAAAAATGTAAAGATAACAGAATAAAACAGATAATGAGAAAATCTGGCGTCAGAGTGACGATAAATAACAAAATCAAAATATACGATTTATATTTCCCCTCAGGTTTCAGGGTAAATATGTCATGCCTTTTAAAACAGAACAATCAACTAAAAGTCTGCCTTAATATCAAAGGAAGGAAATGCTTATTATAATGAGAAAATTAAAAACCCAGTTTGTGAGTATCACAGACGTCATCCATTCTAGAAACACTGTGAACAGTGTTTGAATCCTGCTCACCAAACTTCTTGTGTACTGGACGGCAACAGAAGCGGAGCAGTATATCAAGTCAGCGTCTGCACACAGAAGCTGCTCTTTGCTGGTGACATGCTACGTATTCCGTCAAAACTCCTCAGTAACACACGTTAGACATGAAGGCCACGCTCTAAGAATGTGTTTGTTTTAATTCATGGGAGTAGGAAAAGGTTAGCAGGTTGGCTTTTAGCCATAGTGCTACAACACAGATCTGGCTCTCATTCATCCCACAAACGTCTGACGTATGCCAGACACTGTGTAAACAGTGGTGTCAACTCAAACCATGAATCAGTAAACAGTTATGATAATACGACGACGTGATAAACGCATACCTAGGATTGCAGCCGCCTGCGTGGTTTTGATGAGGGGTAGAGTGCTGTCGTAAGCCTCTTTGGGAACGTACACTGAGCGGTCTCGGAATTTGTTTTTCTTCAGAATCTTGTGTAGTTCACTCAGCACTCCCACCCACTTACTCTTCTCATTCTCACTGTCCGCTAGCATCAGGATGGAACATTTGTTACTAGGTGCTGAGAGCTGGGACGCTGTGACCTGAAACAATTTAATGTTCACAGTTTAGAAAACAGATACCTTTTATGCTAGCTTCAGGGTTATGTTCATCTGCTTAGCACTCACAGTAAAATGAGCATTTATTAAATGATTCCTTTAGCAAACTTTAGCTATGCTGAATTAGAGTATCTCACTGCAATGCTATAATTCAAACACTAGGTGATACAAGTCGAAATGTTACTATCATTTCATGCTCTTTGTTACAAAATGCCATAAAATACCATGAAAATGCATTACACACACTAACTTAACAGGTCACACTTAAAATTATCAAGTATCAGAGAGAAAGGCCCTTCACAAGTATTAACTCATTTACCCTCTTAACAGCTTCATAAGACAGGAGCTATGATTATAAACTAATTTTATATACGAGAATCCATGACAAAGAGAAAGTAAGTAACTTCTCAAGGGCACGAAGCTAAAGCATGCTTCTGTGCTCGTAGGCACTACATCATACTGTTCTGAAAGTCTCTTGTACTTCCTAACAATCCTTTATATTATCACTAAAGAAGATTAGATCGCTTCAAACAGTAAGTAAATAAAGGTTTACAAGTCAATCAGAGCATTTTAGATTACGTGTGTGTGTGTGTGTGTGTGTGTGTGTGTGTGTGTGTGTGTAGAACAGTGGAAAATGAATACTTCTACTAAAGTTTTGGAGTATTTGTTATAAAGAAAGAGACAACTGAAACACAATTTTAAAAATGAGAGTTTTACAGAGAACAAATGTTTTTGTTTTAAGTTGAGAAATCTCATGTGGTAATATTTGCTTGAAGATTGAACTGGGACTCAAAAACATTATAGAACATGAAGCATACTTTAGATGCTTATTTATGCATTCTACAAGTCTTAGCACAATTATTTACTCAAGTAAATATTGGATGGTATGGATACATAAATGAGTACCAGGTCTGGGTCTTGGCCTAGTGACTTTAGGGTTTATACAGAGTGGCAAACGTACTCATTAAAAACAAGTAACCAGGTGCTGGTTTGGTGGATAAACACTTGCTGCCTAAGCCTGAGGGTTAGAGTTGGATCCCCAGAACACAGGTGAGGGTCAGGTAGGTGCGTCTGCTATTCCAGTGCTCCAGAGGGAGAGGCAGGGGTCGCTGGAGTAAGCTGCCTAGCTAGACTAGCTAAAGCAATGAGCTGCAGGTCCAGGGACTTGGTCTCAGTAAGTAAAGAAGACAGCAATCAAGGAAGGTGTCTGACATCCATCGCAGGCCGTCACATGCATGTGCACATAAACACATATGCACATCATACACAATATACATGCAAAAACTCAAAGCCATACACAGACTTACTCTAAATATACAGGGAATATCTTTTCGACTTGCGTGAATAACATCAGAAGCCAAGACTGAACTTACAGAAAATTCTTCATCTCTAAAATAAAAGTTAAACATTTAGGGTTATTACATGTTGCCGTATGTATGTGGGAGCTAGAGAAACAGCTCTCTATACACTCAAATAACATATATGAAGCAATCCTCAAAGCACAAGTGCATAAACACCCAAGTTCAATGTAAAACGAAACAAAACCCCAGATTTCCCACATAGTGACTAACAGTGCTCAAGGTAATCCATCAGGAGTACTTTACACTAGACGTGGCGGCTGACTCGTGCAGACACACGAGGCCAAGAAGCACACAGGCGGGAGGGACTTTTGGCAGTCTCCAGAGTACCCAGTGGACTCTCTTGCCTGCCATAATAAATCTCAAGTGCACTCAGTCCAGCTCCTCTGACACTGTCGTCAGCACCTGCACAGGGACTGACTCCTGTCCTGGACCGCTGTGCCCAGAACCACCACGCCCTTGTCTTAAAGTCCCGACACTGACTCATCTTCACTTTGACAGACAGTTTTGCTGCTCTTCCTGTTGTCCTTAACCACATGGGCTAAGGCGCTCGCTCCCCTTTGCCTTGCCTCCCAGCTTTTCAGTCCATCAGCAGGTCTGCCAAATCTCGTTGCTGATACTCCCTGTACCAGTGCCTCCATATTCCACTGTGTTTCAGACACCAATAGGTATGTATAGCTGGAAATGTGCATTCTGAGCAATGGGTGTGTCTGAATTAGAGACATGCATGGGACCCATCAGTCAGGAGCAATGGTTGAAGCTGTAGGAGAAAATAAAATCCCCCAGGACAGTGCCTGGAGCTCTAACAAACAGGGAAGAGGTGCTCGAGGGGTGCATGAAGAGTCTGGACGACGGAGCTAGAGAAACAGATTCTTAACTGTTCACTGCTTTAATAAGTCGTTGGGGGCTGGTGTGAGACGTTATCTCTTGACTTTCATGGAACCACTGCACTTTCAGATGATGACAGGTGAACATGTATTTAGGACTCTTTTATAACATAACCTTTAGACTGGTCTTTTAGAGCCAAACTTTTATAGCTCCACACACTCAACACATAAACCAACTTGCCCAACCATCCCACCTCTCTACTTATCTAGTATGTCACAGTAGTCATTAAGGCTAAATCCGAAAACTGATTCCAAATTAAGTTATTTAATGCAAAGCATAGTAACATAAAGGAAAGACCATAAAGTTCACTTCCGATGCTGAGATGACGCATACATCTTCATCCCTCGGAGCTTACCTCATGTCAATCACCTGACTGATGACAGAGCTGGGTTGAGATGTCTTTCCTTCCGCAATATCGTAGAGAAACAGTTTGAA